TGTTGTAAAACACATGCATCCTAATCTGATATGAAACGTATGCCTGTTTGCTGACATCTTTCCACAATCAAGGTTGTTCCTCCCGCCATTGCTGCCCAGCCTTATTTCCACTGCTTTCCTCTGAACACCACTGATCAAGCTGGCTCTTCTCCACCTCTGCCAGGAATCACTTTTCTTTACTCAACTCCTAGTCCTCTACCCACCTCCTTTTTTTTTTAAAGATGACCGGTAAGGGGATCTTAGCCCTTGACTTGGTGTTGTCAGCACCACGCTCACCCAGTGAGCGAACCGGCCATCCCTATATGGGATCCGAACCCAGGGCCTTGCTGTTATCAGCACCACACTCTCCCGAGTGAGCCACGGGCCGGCCCCTACCCACTTTCTCATAGGAAGCACTCAAGGCCATTTTTTTTAAACTGAACTTGGCATATCAAAATCCAACTCATTCTTCAAACCCCTGCCTCCTCCGGACAGCCTCCCCTGATTTGCATTGTTTTCCCTTCCCTGTCCCATGTTACTTCTATGGCCAAGCATAACTTTGTGTCCTTAACTAAGTGCAGTGTCCCACCTCTGTACATAATGCTTTCTTGACAATAAGAATTGTGTTATTTTTCCCTCTTTGATGATGTTTGAGTTTCAAATTCGAGGTTTAAAGTAATCTTTTGTCAGCACTTTGAACATATTGTCCCATTCTCTTTTTTGCATCTTGTATTGCTAGTTCTTGTTCATAATCTGTCACTTTTCTGATTCTGTCAGGAGTTCCTCATTATCTTTAAAATGCTGAAATTTCACTAACATGTGGCTAGGTGTGAGTTTATTTTTATCCTGCTCAGCATGTGGTGGGCCTTGTCCATCTAAGGACTCGGGAGATTTTCCTAGAAAATTCATCACTTTTGCTTCTTTAAAGATTATCTCCCTTTGCTCTTTTTATTCTTTCCTTCTAGAACTGTTATTAAACAGATATGGGAACCTGTGGCTCTGTTCTCCATGTCTCTTAACTTTTATTTCATATTTTCCATTTTCATTCCTCTGTATTACATTCTTAGAAAATTCTTCTTGATCTTTTAACTCACTAATTTGCTCTTCAACAGTTCATTCCATTGTTTATTATTTTGATAATTATAATTTTCATTTCCAAAAGCACTTCCCGATCCTTTTTCATAGTCGCCTGTTCTCGTCTCATTTGTTCTTTCATGAATTTGATGCCTTTCTGACATTGTCTTTTTCCTCAGTTGTAAATTCTTTGCAGTGGTGTTGGTGTTTATTTCAGCCCTTTTCTTGGTATTACTGCTTGTCTTGGGCTGTGCAAGAAGAGGCAGCAGACAGTCAAACAGCCCAGCTGGGAGTACACACAAGGAGCTGGTCAGTCTCCACTGGTTTCAGTACAAGATAAGGGACTTCTGAGCCAGCCACTGAGCAATGTCATGTCTCTCTGACCCAAGCTTTTTCATTCAGTTTCCACCTGTAAGCAACCTCCAATCTGCTCAGCCTGTCTTACAAGAATATGGGATAAAGGGCATAGAGAGGGGTCAACCAGCCTGGCTGTTTCTGCCATGTTATCCCAGTTAATCCCCTGTCAGTTGCAGGCCTCCCCTAACCCCAGGTTCTGCCACATTAAAGTCTTCCCCACTTTGCAGCAGAACTCCCTGCAGCAGTTCTAGGCCACAGCCTCCCTCATTTAAAGCTGCTGCAGCTTCCTTAAATCAGTGACTCCTCACGGTTTCTGATCCACTAACTTCTCCCCTTCCTTTTTCAGAGCTTGGCTTTGGACCCATTTATTTATTTCGCTGGATTTGATGCATGAAGGGGAAACTGCTGTCTACTTCATCTCCCATCCTAAAATCAGAAGTCTGACTGGCATGTTATAAAGGGCTTTCTTTCCCAAATAGCAAAAAAAAAACATTATAAAACCTTCTTTAAGATACAACCTTTGTCAATAAGTTTCCAGCATTTTCTGCAAACCCTTATCATTGTTTGAGCTTGCTGGGAAACTGAACATTTGCCAATAAGCACCACCACTCCCTGACTCAGAATGCTCGAAGTCTGCCAAGGGCAGCTCAGGATGCCCTGCACAATGTCCTGAAGTTGAGTGCTGATGCTGTATGCAGTAGGGATCATGGATCCCTGGCATTTTGTGGAGGTATTGAGAAGTCTCCCTCCAGGCCCCACCTCTTCTTCAACCAGAACCATTCCCCTTTTTGGTTTCAGGCCTTTATCCTCTATTTTTGCTAAAGCTGATTCAATATAAAGCTCATATGCCTAATGTCCTTTTGCAGGAAGCATAGATATAACCCATCCATGAAACTTCCCTGCTTTACTATTCCGTGATGTCAGCATACCAGTGGTAGCACGAGGGACTTAAGGAGGAAATAGTTGCCACTAAAGTTTTTGACTTGGTCAGGTGTTCTTTTCTTATGAAAAATTCCGTATGCTCTGTTTTCCTCTTCTGCAGTTCTTGCTTCCTGGTTCATCTCAACAACCACAGCACTGTAGCAATAGAGATACTAGGAACACCTTAGTTCCTTGTCTGGACTATTTATCTTGAAGACATGTTTTATTGATGATGATGAGGAGGAGGAGGAGGATATAGGTACCTCTTCTTTTTTTTATTTTTTAAATTAATTTATTTATTTTTATTGATTATATATATCCATAGTTCACCAAGCTGACTGTCAGCACCTGATAGGTACCTCTTCTGTGCCAGGTACTTTACTACTTGATAACTAATCTTCACAGAAATCCCAAAAGGTTAGTATCATCAGCCCATTTTACAGATGAGGTACCTGAGGCTTAGAGGGTTTAGGGAAATTAATTGCTCAAGGTTACACAGCTGGGGGCCGGCCCGGTGGCGCACTGCTACAGTGCGCCGCTTGGGAGTGTGGCGGCGCTCCCGCCGAGGGTTCGGATCCCACGTACAGACCGGTTCCCGCTCACTGGCTGAGCGAGGTGCGGGCACAGCACCGAGGGTTGCGATCCCGTTGCCGGTCCCGGTCCGGTCCGGGCACGACACTGAGGGTTGCGATCCGTTGCCGGACACGAAAAAAGACAAAAAAGGAAAAAAAAAAAAAAAAGGTTACACAGAGCTGGGGGCCGGCCCGGTGGCGCACTGCTACAGTGCGCCGCTTGGGAGTGCGGCGGCGCTCCCGCCGAGGGTTCGGATCCCACGTACAGACCGGTTCCCGCTCACTGGCTGAGCGAGGTGCGGGCACAGCACCGAGGGTTGCGATCCCGTTGCCGGTCCCGGTCCGGTCCGGGCACGACACTGAGGGTTGCGATCCGTTGCCGGACACGAAAAAAGACAAAAAAGGAAAAAAAAAAAAAAAAGGTTACACAGCTGGTAAGTGGTAGAGCTAGAATTTGAACCCAGTCTCTCTGGTTTTAAAGCCCAGGATCTTTTCCTTCCCCTTGTAATCTCAGGACCTTGCATTTGCTTTTATTTATAATAGCTCTTAGCTTCTCTCTAGCAGACAAAAACTCCCATAAATCATGATTAAGAATACAAATAGTCAGAGCTTCTGCCATATTACTTTGTATAGAGTATAAGCTTAACAAATCTCATTGATATATCTTATATTGATTTTTGTCCTGTTTTCCTTTCCTCACTTATACTCAGTGTTAGCACTGTTGAATGAATTCATGGATGCGTTGATAAGATGCTGGTCACGTAACAGGTTTACATTTATCAGTGCCCTTTCCTGGAGAGGCCAGTGGAACTCATTAAGTGCTGTCTGTCAAGTGTGTCTGCTTTTTCTCAGTGACCTCCACTCTCATTTAATAATAGATAACATTTACCTTTCAGCGTTTACTAAGTGCTGTTACGTGCATTACCTCATGCAGTCATCGCAAAAATCCTGCAAGTGGGTGTTATTGTCATCGTCATCTGCAGTCTGCAGTGTGGAATCTGAGGCATGTGGCTTGCCCAGGGCCATTAAGGCAGCAAGTGGTGGAGCCAGAGCCAGAACCCAGGCCTGTAGGTCCTGGAGCCCAACCTCTGCCTCCCGGCACTGAGTCTGTGGCTGCCAACCTTCTTTGAGCTGGGCTGAAGATTGCCACAGAAGAACCATGCCTGTAGCCCTCTTTGGCCCTTTAGCAATTCCTCATCCCAGGCACAGCCCCTCCAACCAGGATCACCTTTCTGAGAGGCAGGGTTGGGTAGTGGTAAAAGCTTGGGCTCTGAAGCCCACATGCCTGCCTTTGAGTCTCACCTCTGCCATTGACTTTCTGCATGATCCTGTGCAAGTTTCTCAGCTCTCCTAAGGCCAGTTCTGCATTTGTAAAATGGGATGAAAATCCCCATCTCACAGGGCAGTTGTGAGCATTATTCAGATCTCCTAGGTACAGAGCCTGCCGGGGACTACAGTATATTAATTTGTTAGGACGGCCATAACAAAATACCATAGACCATTTATTTTCTCACATTTTTGGAGGCTAGAAGTCCCAAGATCTTCTTTAAAATTGTAGCAGATACTGCTAGTCCACCTGAGTTGACTTACAGCTGCACACAGGTCCCTACAAGCTGATGGCTTCTCACCTCCCAAAAGGGGAAGGGAGATGGGGATGCCCTGGGTGGGGAGTAAGTAGATAAATGCCCCCACCCCCAGAGGCATGTCTGCATGGTCTCTCAGAGGGTCCCTGGTGGATTAAACCCCAGTGGCCAGAGCAATAGCCTGCTCATAATTGGCCTCTCCCCTTCCCTTCCCACTTCCTTACTTGTACTTCCTGGGATCACCTCTCAAATTAATTACCTGTACCTAAGTCCATGTCTCAGAGACTGCTTTTAGGGGAAGCCAAAATTGGACAAGAACTTACCCCTGTGAAAATGTTCCTGATACAAAATAATGCCTCCATAGATGGTCCACCATAGAACTTTTAGGAGAATCTGCTAAGTGCAAAGCCACAGCTTCTAGAGCTCCAGTGGCATGTGAGTTCTCTCAGACCATTCTGCTCTACTGGCCCTGGCAGCGTACCTCCTAAGTGCTTTCCTCTGTCCTCCCTTCCAGGTGATCGAGAAGAACCTGAGTGGCTGGTGGTACATTCAGATTGAAGATAAGGAAGGATGGGCCCCAGCAACCTTCATTGACAAGTACAAGAAGACCAGCAATGCCTCAAGACCCAACTTTCTGGCTCCTCTGCCCAATGAGGTGACCCAGCTCCGGCCTGGGGATGCAGCAGCAATGGAGAACAGTACAGGCAGTGAAGCCGTTGGCCCCTCCCGGCCCCTGCCTGATGCACCGCATGGTGCTGTGGACTCTGGGATGCCGTGGTCCAAAGACTGGAAGGGCAGCAAGGAGGTCCTGAGGAAAGCATCTTCAGACATGTCTGCATCAGCAGGCTACGAGGAGATCTCAGACCCCAATCTGGAAGAGAAGCCCAGCCTCCCTCCACGGAAAGAATCCATCATAAAGTCGGAAGGGGAGCTGCTGGAGAGGGAGCGGCAGAGGATGGAGCAGCTCCGGGGCTCTTCACCCAAACCTCCTGGCATGATTCTGCCCATGATTCCAGCCAAACACACCCCCCCAGCCCGGGACAGCAGGAGGCCAGAGCCCAAACCTGACAAAAGCAAACTGTTCCAGCTGAAAAATGACATGGGGCTGGAGTGTGGCCACAAGGTATTGGCCAAGGAAGTGAAGAAGCCCAACCTCCGGCCCATCTCCAAACCCAAAGCTGACCCACCAGAGGAGAAGCCAGAAGCCATTCCCCAGAATCCCTTCCTGAAGTCCAAACCTCAGGTTAGGCCAAAACCAGCTCCTTCCCCCAGGACAGAGCCACCTCAGGGTGAAGACCAAGTGGACATCTGCAACCTCAGGAGTAAGCTCAGGCCTGCCAAGTCCCAAGAGAAATCCTCGTTGGATGGGGAGAACCACCAGGCTACTGGGGGCCAAGATGTGGCCCTCAGCCGAAGCTTCCTCCCAGGGGAGGGACCTGGCCGTGCTCAGGATAGAACGGGAAAACAGGATGGGCTCAGCCCCAAGGAGATATCCTGCAGAGCCCCTCCAAGGCCAGCCAAGACCACAGATCCTGTGCCTAAGAATGTACCCGTCCCTCTCCAAGAGGCTCTCCAGCACAGACCTGTGGTCCCGCCCCGGAGACCACCCCCCCCCAAGAAAACCTCCTCATCAGCTAGGCCCCTCCCAGAGGTCAGAGGGCCACAGCGTGAAGTCAGTGAAAGCAAGGCAGCTCCTGCCCCAGGCCGTGCCCTTCTGGTCCCTCCAAAAGCCAAACCCTTTCTCTCCACCACCTCAGGGGGCCAAGATGACATGCGAGGCAAAGGTGGGCTGGGGCCACGTGGGGCCGGCAAGATCGGGGAAAACGGGGATAAAGTGGCTGCAGCCTCCTTCCCCAATGCAGATGGCCCAAAAGACTCTTTATATGTGGCCGTGGCCAACTTTGAAGGAGACGAAGATACCAGCAGCTTCCAGGAAGGGACGGTATTCGAAGTTCGGGAAAAGAACAGCAGCGGCTGGTGGTTCTGCCATGTCCTGAGCGGAGCCCCTTCCTGGGAAGGGTGGATTCCCTCCAATTATCTCAGAAAGAAGCCGTAGCCTCCTCCTCCCTCCCTGCCTGGAGGTTTTACTGGTCCCCGCTGGCTTTACCCACATATTTAATATGCCTCTTAATTTATCGTTCTCCATGCAGCTTCAAAGGAAGGCAGACTCTGCAGTACTGTGGTTTCTCCCTCCCATGGGTGGAGAGTGAGTTGCTGAGACCTCGGGAGCCCCTGGGTCTGACTCCTCTCATCACAGCATTCCCTGGAGGCTCAGAAGCCACAGCCCTGCTTTCTATCCATGTCAGCATCCCTGCCTTAAGAGGACTCCTCCTCCTAGCCCAGTGGCATTGCCACCCAGTGGTGGGACCAGGACCCTCCACAGCCTCCAGGACTAGAGCCCATCGTCTCCAGAAACTCCAGAAAGGGTCTCTCATTGCTTAAATGAGACATAGTGAGGGGCAATCCGCCAATCCATGACGACTTGCTCTAACTTCATGTTTCTAAAAGCCCAGTGGTTTTATTCATGTTTCCAAAATGCCTGGTACCAGAAAGAACTTCATCCTATGGAAGTCAGACCCATTGCCAATCCCAGGGAAAGTGTCCTCTTCCGGAGGCCTGGGGTCCATGGACCCGTGAGGTTCAACCAGATGCAGCTACCCCAGGAGTGGGCCTGGAGGTCCCCCTTGGCCATCCTTATGGGGCTCCCGTCTTCTATCTTGGGACCATGATCAGCCCCAAAGGGGTGGTTCCAACATTAAGCATGCTTCACTTTCCTGCTGCAGGCTCTGGCCCATCCAGGGCTTTTAAATAAGAATTAACACCCCCTACCTGGGGCATATTATTTTTGTCTACCTAGAGAGCACGAGACTCAAAGTTTGTTTGAAAAGGGGGTCATTCACAAGCCATGCCCCTTGTGAGCACCCTTTGCTAAGTAGCTAGTAGGTGCCAAACACTGTACTGAGCACTTTGCATTCATGTTTTAACCCTCACCACAACCCTCCGTTGTAATATACCCATTTTGTAGATGAGGAAACTGGGGCTCAGTGTGCCCAAGGGCACATTAGAAAGGAAGAGGAGGAAGGAGGACTTGAACCCAGACCTACCTGAATTCCATGCCTGTGCTCTTCTGTAAGAGGCAAACCATGCAGGGAAGAAGAGATAGAAGCTGGCCACCAGGAGCAGTTGGCCAGGTGGCTTCCTTGTGATGTGGGTGAGGGAGCATTTGTGGCTGCTCCCACTGCCACCTTCCCTCCAGCCCACTGCAGCATATATCCAAGGCTGCCCTGGACTCTCAGCAACTGCTTCTTCATGGCAAGGGGATGTCCAGGGTCCTGGTGGTTGACACAGAGCCCTGTTCCCTGCTCCTAAGCTGATTCCCCCTGGGAAATAGAGTTTATGGAACAAAGGGAGCTGAGCTGGTCTCACGTGCCGGCCTTGAGGGGTCCAAGTGGCTTGAGGACTAGCAGCTGGGTCTCCACCAAAATAAGCATAGCATGCAGTAGCCCCATAAGGGAGACAGGGACCCAAGGGCCAGGCAGAAATCTCTTGTCTCTGCCTCCTGCTGCTTCCAGCTCCTCTCTGGTATTTGTAGAGTAGTTTTCTTCTTTTTTTTTTAAAGATGACTGGTAAGGGGATCTTAACCCTTGACTTGGTATTGTCAGCACCACGCTCTCCCAAGTGAGCTAACTGGCCATCCCTATATAGGGATCTGAACCTGTGGCCTTGGTGTTGTCAGCACCACACTCTCTCAAGTGAGCCAAGGGCTGGCCCTGTTTTCTTTTTAAAAGCACTCACTCTGACTATTTTCTACCTGAGAGGAACCCAAGACAGCCCTTCCACCCATTTTGACAGATGTAGTTAACAGGCATGGAGAGGCACAGCTAAGTCATTGCAGAACCAGAATCAGGACTCAAGGTTTCTAGGTCCCAGCCCAGAGTTCTTGCCTGTGAATCAGGCTGAAGGTGGGGTGAGAGAGCAGAACCCCTTCCCACCCACCCATCACTGCAGAAGAGGAGGCAGCCCTGTCCTGCTCCAGAGATCTCCGATTTACAGTGCTCATCTGCTGAGATGCTTTTGGAACCACAGAGCCAGCTTTTGCGGTGATGCTCACCATCTACCTGCAGTGCCTAAAATTTTGTGCAAACAGCCCTCTCTGCCCCCCAGCCCTGCCCACTGCCACATGGTCTCTGGCTGCTTCCACAGGAGAAAGCTTCTGATCCACAGTAGCATCTTTAGTCCCTTCCTGCAGTTGGTCTGCAAATCTCACACCGCACAGAGAGTCAAGGGCCCCAAGACGCCTCTTGCAAGGCCTGGTTGGCCCTATGTGCAGAACCTTGGTGGAAGAAGGAAGGCCAGGGTAGGGCTGCCTAGCTCTTCAAGGTCCCCTCAGTTGGGAAGAGGCCCCATGGCATAGTTTTCCTGTGTTTTGATCCACTTTTCTTTAAACAGTTTTTGTGGGGGTGGCTGGTTAGCTCAGTTGGTTACAGCACTTGGTGTTGTATCACCAAGGTCAAGGGTTCAGATCCCCATACCAGCCAGCTGCAAAAAAAACCAAAAAGCCCCAACTTTTGTGAAGCTGTTATGCAGGATTTAACAACATTTCAAAAGACAAAAAACAATTTTTTTTCTGAGTTGCTTTTGGTTTTCAGTGACCTTTTCAAGTATTTTGTGAGCACGTATTATGTGCAAGGTGCCAAGTGGACAGGGATGTATGTGGCTCCATCCCTGGCTGTGAAGAGCTTTGAGCTTTGTCTGCTGCCTCCACTAAAGAAGTCTGTCTTTTGCCTCATTCCCTCCTCCCAGGGGTCCTCTGGGTGGGAATGGACTGGCTCCCCCTTCCTCTGGACAGAAAATTTTCCTCCAATGAAAGAGTTTGCCTTTTTAAATATTATTCTGACGTGAACTGTAGGTACTGAAGCCACATTCCTCTCTGTTCACTGTTCATTCCTTGGGCCATATCTATGGACTGAGGACTCCATATCCAGCTCCTTTTGCTACAGTGGTGGACACTTCCAAAGGCCACTAGAAGAGGGTGGATCCAGATGGCCAGTGACTCTCCTGGCTGTCCTTGCCTGGGGACTTAGGTTTACACCATCCAGGACTGTGGTTGCTATTCTGTGAGCAATTGATGGAGCATATGCAAAATTCCCCTGGAGTTGTGGCCATGGAGAATGTCCAGGGCCATCGTTAACAACTAGGCCAGCCACCAGGCAGGTCACTGGCATTTAAACACACTTCCTTCTTTAACTAAGCCTCACAACAGCTCTGTGAGATGGATAGGATCAGCCCCAATCTGTAGTGAGAAAACTGAGGTTCAGAGGGTGAAGTCATGCCCAGCCTCGTCCAAATAGTGACCAAGCTGGGGTTTTTTTCTCCCTCATGCCCATGACTTTTCCTCTGTCATCAGCAGTGAGATGTGCATAGGGCTTGCAGGGTATCAGATGACCCTCCCTTCTGAATTTAGGTGTCTCCTCCCACCCCCTGGTCACACATTTCAGTAGGTCACAGGCCAAATGCCAGCCCAAAAGGTGGGGTACTTTTCTCTCCTCACCCCTGCTTACTACCTTATGATGACTACTTTATCTTACATCCTAGGGCAAATGTACAGCTTGTGGCACCACCAAATCTTTGTAAAATCTGAGTTTTAGATCACCACTTGATGAAACAGGCCTTTGCTCAAATTTTTTGCTCAGAATTTATCTTTGCCATTTAGTTGGTTTATGTCATTGTCCCAAGCTAAGACTTGGAAAGAGCTGAGCTCCAGTTCAAACCACCTTTGATGCTCTGACCCTATTGGGGACTTGCTAGAGCACATACCAGGCTTTCACCAGTCATTTTAGGCCTCTGCCACAAGGCTACTCCATGTCATCAATTTCTAAGGCAAAGTTCCTGGCCTTAAAACATTTCTGAGCCCACCAGAGATTTTGTTACGGGTAGAAAGTGGGAGAACACACTTGCCACAATACAGGGCAGGTGCTGAGTCTCCCCAGGACTTAGGAAGGACCTCAGGCTGAGGAAGAGAGAGTCTTGTATTTATTCAGCCTCTGCCAAGTACCTAGCACTGAGTGGGATAAAGAAGAAACTGCTCCTGCCCTCGAATAGCTGGCAACTTGACACCATCAAAAGCAAGAACATTCGTGGCTTGGGTCCCATCCTTTCATTGCACTCAAGTTTCTTAAGTGTTGGTTTAGGCTGCCTCTGGGAGGCCTTGCCTTTCTCTTTGGACTGTGACAGTGGGCACCCATCAGCCTAGCCATGCGTGGCAGTCTTGTCCCCTACTCACTGGTTGTCCAGGCCCATCCTGCAGAGCTTTTGTGTATATTGCAGACAGCCGTCCCATGTCATAGACCAAAGATTACCTAGTGTCACACTGTGTGGCCTGAAGGAGTGGGAAATTGGCTTGCATTGAAGCCTGAGGGTGTGGGCACCCTCCCTTGGCCTCGAGGAATTGCTCTGAGCGTGGGTATGGTGTTAACATCTACACCAGCCACACCGTAGGAGGGTCTCTGGCAGAGCTTCAGAATTAAAACCAGAGGCTCCACAGTCCTTGCCTGCTCAGGGACCACCTTTTGAGCACCTTTCTAGCTTTATGGGGTAACGTCTGGTTTTTGGTGCTGTACTGCCAAGTTATCAAGCCCCTCCTCGGGTTTCAGCATTCCATCTTCCTGTTTCTATCCTCTGCTCCAAAATAAGCCTCCTTCGCTCCCATTGGAGGATGAGGGGCTCAACCTCTTTTGTCCTTACAGAGGCCAAACAGTGCCACAGCCACAGCCTTCACTTGCAGATATCATACATGTAGAAAAGAAGGTGCCCCGCCAAGCTTATGACAGCAATAAGCAATTCTAGTACAACTAAGGTGTCCCTTTTTACCCCCAAGGTATGCCTGTTTATGCCTTTGTGCCCGTGTAATTATTAGTAGTGCCCCTTTTACTCTTACAGGGGTAATGATGAATTATGGTCACCTTAGCTACAACCCACGTTTCCTGCTTCAGGAAGCCACCAAGTAATAGACCATTCCTTACATCCCTCCAGGAACAGTGGGCTCTTAGCATCGCCCCATCCCTTGTGTCTACTTGTGGGAGGATGCTGGAGGTCCCTGGATATCTCAGCACTTCTCATACCCTCTCAGCAAACTGACAAATCCTGGTGGTGGTTTTTGTTTCCTTTTAACACACACAAAAAACTATATATAATGCGAGGGGGGAGGGGTGATGGACAACTAGCTGTAGCATGTATAGACTATATACTTTACCATTAGACTTTTTTTTTTAATAAAAAAAAGTGCTTGACTGGTTTCAAGCTTCATTGTGAAAATGTGGTGCCTGTGAATTTTATTTGGCAGAAGAAAGAGCATATAGCTTTGTGCACTGGAGTCTTTGGGATTAAAGAACAGAAACCTCTGCGTGCTCTGGGCATTCCCCAGAAATAGGGTGACTCCACTCTGGGCTCTAATGTGCGTTCGTTCTTTTAACTACAATGTCCAGAAACCAAGAGAAAGCTTCCTTGTATTTGCTAGGTATCTCCCACATAATCTCAGCTCTGTGCATAAAGATGGGAAACTTCACCTGCCCAAGGAATCTTGAACCTCTTGCTGACATTGCCCCCTGATGGGTAAGAGTCTGTGTTGGTGGGGGGTGGGGCCACAGGGACTGCCCACGCCATCTGCATAACCTGTATTTTATTACTTTCTGAAAGGCACAGCCAAGGCAAAATCAACCCCCAACACGGAGCATCCTTGTTCCCAGGTGAATCTTTAAACAAAATGACAGCATACCCCTCCTTCCTAGGGAGAGAAGAAGAAAATCAGCAGTCCCAGAACAAAAAAAATAACTTTGAATGGGGAACAGGGGATTTACATACAAGGGTACTTCAAAAAGGTTGTGGAAAATAGAATTTAAAGATAATATGAATCTTTCCATGAGCTTTTTGAAGACCCCTCGTATTGGTCCTCCCTTGGAGAACACATCTCAAAGAACACCTTCTGGCGGGCCTTGCTTAGGAATAATAGTCATTAATATATTACTCTCTGTTCCTATAAGAAGGAAAGAATCATTATGTGGTTCAGGCCCCCCATGGGAGCATGTTCACCCCAGTTTTTCCAAACCAAAAGTGCTTTATCACAAGAACAGTACAGGCAATGGTGCGGGCTTCCAGGGATGGGTTTGGAGGGGCACCTGAGCCTCACAGGATGGGATGGGAGCTGGAGCGGGGTCAGGAACCAACCTCCTGACTTGGTCTGTGGGGCTACATACTGTCTCACCACATTCCTACCCCTGACCTTCCTTAGGTCTCACTGGCACACTCACCATTCCCGTTCACACTGTCTCAGAGATGCCACGCCAAACGTGATCCAGCGGTCTAGCCCTCACACACACACACTCCAAACACTGCCTCCTTTAAGCAGTCATGGTGCCTCTCTGGGTCCAAGATTGATGTAGGACCATTCTTCTCCGAGTCCAGGGTCTTTAATGTCCACTCCTTCTCTAGTTCAGTATCATTTGGTCCAGATGTGATTCTTCAACATCTTGCAACCCACGTATTCCAGTCAATGGCTCTCAAATGTTAGTGACTATGGAGCTTGTAAAAATGCAGACTCCTCAGCTTTGCCCCCTGAAAGTCAAAATCAGCAAGGA